TTGATCTATAGCCGGACGCTCGCCTATTTTTCAAATTTTTTTCGTAATTATAAATTATAATGCAAAACACAAAGCATACTTTGAGATCTATAAAATTATTAAAATAATAAATATAATTAATGTAATTATTCTATCCTTTTTTTTTTATCTTGCATAACACTTAACAATAAACGCCAATTAAGGCCATGTTTTACCTATTTTTTAATTTTTCTTTCAGGTTTGTAAGATTCAAAAGATTGTAGCCTATTACTATAATTTTTCGGTATATGGAGCCCATATTTAGAGGTCTCTTTAAAGCATGTTGAACTGGACAAATATTCCACTTTTTCCTAGAGAATTTAGGAATTAAATCTCATTTCAATTTTTTTCTCATGGCAAAATTTTATCATTACCAAATCTTCTCTTGATTAAATACTTTATTTACAAAATTATCGTTTTGTTGTTAGTGGCATTTAATAATGAGATTTGTTTGATAATATCGAAATATTTTGTGATTAGTTTATGATTTAGGAGAAATTTTTAAAAAGATAAGTGTCCGACTACATTTTTTTTATCTTAATTTTCTAAAAACCGACTTTATAAAATTTAAAATAATTTGAAAATATTAACACAATAAAATAGGAAATTTTATAAAAAAAAACGAATGACGCGTTTCAAAGTTATAGCGATGTTTTTTAGCCACCCAGTAAATAATCTAAATTTTTCATCTTATTATCAACTTTCTTCCAATAGGGATTAGTAGGGCGTTTTTGCCAAAATCATCATAAGCCTGAAAATAATTGTTATATTTGAATTTATAAAATACCTTGAGATAGTCCAACGAACACTTACCTAAAGTTATACATTAATAAATATTTTTAATATTTTATATTTTTTCTCAAGATTGATTCTAGTAAAAGTTAATTTTTGCCTCAACAAGCCTCAAACCCGGCGGTTCCTGTAGATTCCATTGGTTTATTATGTTTCCTATTGGATATTTATTATTATTCTTTCATTTTTTATGGACTATGTTTTATTGATATAATACACCATTTGCATATAAATAATTCATATAAAAATGTAAAAATACGACATTTTATTAATTTTAAAAAATGTTTAAGTTTTTAATAAATTTTTTCTATTATTCGCACTAATACATTCGCGATATGCATTCGCAATCATACATTTGCGCGCGTTAATGCATTCGCTATAATAAATTTATTAATATTTTCGCGATCGTCATTCGCGATAATTCATTCGCGATAATTCATTCGCGATAATGCTTTCTCGGTAATACATTCGAGATATTGCATTAGTAATAATTCATTCGCGATAAAACTTTCGCGGTATTACATTCGTGCTAATGCATTCGCTATAATATTTTTGCTGTATTATATTCGCTATAATATTATATCATGGTAATCGACATTCGCGATAATGCATTCCCGATAATTCCTTAGCTGTAATGTATTTGCTATAATACATTCGCGATAACACTTTCGCGGTATTACATTTTCACTAATGCATTCGCTATATTATATTCGCTAGAATGCATTAGAGATAATGTATTCGCGATTATGCATTCTCTATAATATTATTTTGAGGTAATCGACATTCGCGGTAATGCATTCGCGATAATACATTTCGCGATATTGACATGTAACCTTTTTAAATATTTATTTTAATTTGCTCATTACTTGTTCAACCTCCCTTATACATTTTTTCTTTCTTCTAAACTTAATTAAAATATTTTATAATTTCATATAAACTTGGTTAATTGACATTATTTCATTGAATAAATTAAAATTATATATTTTATTTTATTATGTTATTCTATTTATATTTTTTTAATTTTATTTTGTTCAACAATTTAACATTTTATTTTAACAATTTGGATACTTGATAAATTTTAGGTTAGGGAGTATTTGGCGAAAACTCTGAAAATCTTTGAAAAGGAGTTCCTCTTAACTACAACCATTTCTAAACTTACATCAAAAATAAAAAATTTAGCAGATTTAGAGTTTTACCAACCTCTTGTAGAGTCCCTTATAAACGGTATTAATAAAAGGTTTATAATAAAAAATAAATTATCTATTTAAATAACTTTATTGCAGAATTTCAAATGTTTATAATGATGAAATCATTGCGGCTATTATCCATCCTGCATCAAATTTAATTGGGAATGGATAAAAAAATGCACAAAATATGGAATTAAAATACAAATTAATTAATTTTTTAAGAAAACAAATTCCTGATGCTACTATTTCACGGGAATCTTGCAATGATTTGGAAGATTTTTTTGTATTCCACGAAATTGATCATCTGGAAGATAATATATTGGACAATATCATTTAAATAATGATACTTATATTACTATTTTTGATAAATTTCCTGAATTAAAAAATATTTATAATACTCCGCTTCCCTCTAGTGATCCTGTTGAGCGCCTGTTTAGCATTGCTAAACAAGTTTTAGGAGAGAGGCGTGGATGTTTGTTAGATTCAAATTTAGAAAATTTATTACTTTTAAAAGCTAATAAAAGATTATAAATATTTTGATATATAATTTAATATAAATAAAACTTTTTTGATAAAAAAAAATATTATTTTGTTTCGTGTACTTTCTTAATAAAATGAAAATCAAGGAGAGGCTATTTGTAAAAATTTAAGTAGCGGAAGCTATCTCCTTTTGAGAAGGTCATAATAATCAAATAAGTGCAGCATAAAACACACTGGTTTTAAAGCTAAAATAAAAACACTTCTCTTTATTGGATTGTAATGTTTGAAGTCTTTCAAAATCAAAAGGTAGATTTATCTCCTTCGTAAAATCTTGTAACTTTGAAAAAATATTCAAAATTCTGTGTTATTATCTCTTAGGATTAAAAAATAATAAAAGACAATAATTTAAATTATACTTCTCAAATTAATTCGGCAATTTTTTGCCAATTGAATTTGATTTATTGCAAACCATATATCCTTCGAAATAGTTTGAAATTTTGTACAAGCCAAGCTTATTATCAATAATTTTTTATCCATAACTCAAAGTGATAAAATAAAACCCAATTTAGACTACTAGCCATAGTGTAAGTGGCAGGATCTTCAGAATCCTTTTGTCAAAGCTGACCTCAAGCCATCCTAAAGCAGGAAAAAATTTATAATCGCTTTATTTGATGATAGCTAGCTTCTATATATATAAAATAAACATTTTAAATCTAAGCAAATAATAATATTACCGGGTGATATTCTTGATGCGTAAAAATCGTTGCGATTTTGTGAGTACATTACTCCAATGCTTTGAGCGAACATATATTATACCACCATTAAAATATACATAAATCTCGTCTAATATTCCTAAAACATTTCGCAGTTCTTTTATTGATTGACATAATTGAACAATGATTAAATTTAATGGATGACAATAGCACCAAATAAAAGCTGCTTTTGGAGTCTCCGCTTTAATCAAAGCCTGTACTTCATTGATTCTTCCACTTATGTTTGAGGGGCCATCATAGCTTTGCCAAATTAGGAATTCAAAGAGTAGATTCATGGAGCCAAGTTTGGATTATATTCTTTTTAATATAGAGACCAGTTGTATTTTCCGTACAACATAGGTCTATCAGTCTTTCAACCGGCTTAGGCGTCTCACTATTTTCAGCATATCTTACTAACAAAGCTATTTCTGATTTAGAAACATCATACGTGCCATCAACTATAATTGAGAAGCATCTGTTATATTCAATCTCTTTTTGAATTTTTTTATAACCATATTTTCATGGTTTCAATGAGAATATTTATGTTATTATATGATAATAAATTTAAATATAATTACGATTTTTTTATATGTTTTAACGGAATCACTAAGTCGAGTCCGATATCATAAACCAGAAATCACATGGTTATGGATGGGTGTAGTAAAACAATAAAAGAATTAAAAAATTTTAAATAGTACCCCCATCCAAATTTTTAGAAGCAGTTGCTTCGGACCCCCACAGTTGTAGGGGCCACTGGGTAGGAGATAAAATTGTCATATGCTGGGGGGAGATATAAATGTATGATCTAGTCATTTATTACAAATTATTTATATTTTACAATAATATATTAAGTAAATTCGATAACCCATTTTCTAAACTGTTTACTATTTCCATTTTAAAAATGGCCAACCTAGTTCTTTGCTTTATGATTTTCTTTAAAGCTTAGGTAATTAGGTGTTTCAAAATGCAGCCACATAGGCTTATCCAGGAGTTTCCTATAAGGGAAAAAGCACTATTAGCTGGGTTTTTACTTCCGCCATAAATTTTAAGGTCCACTTATTTTTTTAAATAATGTTTTTTTTCTTAAAATTTTGAATTATAGTCGTTATTTAAAAAAATCATTAACTTTTTACTTATTTCTCTTTTAAGTTATTATGTATAGTGATATTTTATATATGGGAAGGGAGGAGGGTGAGAGTTTTCCAGGAGGAAATTTTTATTAACTTAAAATAAAATTTACGAGTAGGCAAATTTCCGCTGGAGTGGGAAATTTAGAATTTTCCACTTTCCCAACCCCTGGTTACGCCTATGTCCTGCCATATTTATCACAGCCTAAAACCTATTCAATTACCCAATTAATGCCCTCCGCTATTTTATGTATGTCATTTAGATCGATCTTCATGACAAAAAAATTAAAAGCAATTGTTTTATTTGTTAGAATAAAAATTTGAAAAATACTGAAAGATGTCGTTTATATTTATTATATTTAACTTACCCCTTGTAAATAATTTTCCCAGTTGATTATCTATACAAAGACGAATCCCTTTTCCTTCATTTTTTAATTAACTTTTAAAAAAAAAATTTATTTAGTAATATAGATAATTATAACAATATCCATATTAAATATTACACACAATAGTAAAAATATTACACTGCAAAATTAACATGTAAAAATAATCAATAATATAAAAGAAAAACATCGAGAATAATTTTTGTTAAAATTTAAATCTAAAAAATAAAATGAATATTTTTAACCATGAAATTTGATGAGGAAATTTGTTTAATTAATATAATATGTGAGGGATTAAGTATAAAACGAAATTGACTTTCTTATTCTGAAAAACGATATCAGGAAAATGCATCCTTTGGAGAAGTAAATTTATTTATTTTAAAAAAAATTTAAGAGGCGGTAGATTATTAAATTATGGTAAGCAAGAAAAATCCCTTATAAATTTTACTGCATTAGTAATCGAGAAACTAAAGAACAAATTCGGCAGGTGGAATTACAAGTCAACACCAATTTTAAAGAAAACTAATTAATAATTTAACTTTTTTAAGACATTATAATAATCAGCATGCATGTCATCGCTTCTCACATTTTGTTTTAGGGTTAGCTCTAGAAATTTTTTTGATTAATTTTTTTAAATTCGCTTTTAACGTTTCCATTATAACTTTTTAAATTTTTGATGCCTTGAAAAATGTTGTAAGCTGGTTTTATAATGTAATTTTGTAGGGTTTGAAAACTCGAAAATATTTTTGAGCAAAATATTTTTGGATAATTTTTTTCATCTTGATCTGTGCATGAAAATCATCATTACTTATTATAGATATTTTAAAAAAGATTTTGGTTAAGGCAAAATTTGATCAAAATCTCAAAAATTATTTATATACAAATTAATTAGAATACTTTGAATATTTCAAATATTTAACACCTATGTAACATCTAGAGATCATCTATATCTGTATATAATAATTTTCTTAAATTCATCCACCTATTTTATTATATGAAAGGAAGGGATCTCAAGAAATTTTCATAAATTTATGAAAACATTTTTGTCACATGTTTCTTAGAAGGTTTAAAAACTAATTGGTAAACATTTCCTAAATGAAAGTATAAAAAGTATATACTGTAATCTTATATTCGAATACAGTGTTTGTATATTGTTAGCTTAGCCTTTGTACCACATCTATTATTCCTCGATTACTCATTTTTAAAATTTAAAAGATAATCATCGATAATCCTAAACTTTGATATTTATCCATAAAAAGTAATAAACTTTAAGGTCATTATTAAAGAGTCGGGAAATTTTGTTAATTAAAATGATGTTTTCTAAAATTTTCTTTATAACTTTTATGGCACTTATATGGTGTTTAATTATTTTCCAGGCATAATAATAATATATGCGATAAGTTAGAATGTTGTAAACTTTAAAAAATCTATTGATTTACCTAGTCACCTGAAATCAGAGTTGTAAAATGATAATAATAAAATCACAGATTTATAGATCTGGAATGATTTACCTAGTCACCTGAAATCAGAGTTGTAAAATGATAATAATAAAATCACAGATTTATAGATCTGGAAATAAATTCAAAATCACTATTTATGTGTTACAGATTCCAAACTAACAAACATCAGGTATAATTCCCAGACAAGTTTATTTTTAGCATCTGCATGGATATGGCAAGATTGTTTTCATAGTGATATTACAGTTTTAGGGGTTGCGAATAAACTCTTTACAAGTTTTCTAATTGAGATACAAATTTCAAATAAATGAAAACTATTATTCTTGTCAGTTGTTTCCATAGGGATAGGCTAAACTATATTTCCTAAATGGGGAATTGGGTGACATTTTATTCATAAATTTTATTAGAAAGTTTTAGGAGTCCTTAGCCTTTGGCAGTATTATATTTTTTTAAAAGATAATTTTGATTATACACTTCTTTTTTTTCTTTATTTTCTGAAAAATTTTAATTATAGTCATTATCTTCAAGTCATTATCAAATAATTATCAATTTGTATACAAATTTTTAACTTTTTTTTATTGTTTATAAAAGTAAAGTCTGGATTAAGATTTTCAAAGACCAACTATGACAGTAAAGATCGAACCGTGGACCAAATTATAAAAACCGAACCTAGTTCTGGACCAATTTTTGTTTTGCGTTTAAATACCCATATAAAACAAAATTACGAAATTTTAAATTTTCATTTATTTGCAAATATAGAAATAATAAAAAATGATAACTAACATAACAGTGTAACAATTTATTTATATTATAGAATAATATTAGCTCTATTGAGATTAGATTAAAATTATCTTTTTTAGAAATCCCATTGTTATCTTTAATATATTTCTCTTCTTTTTTGCCAAGTTCTGCTTTAGAATATTATTATTCACAATGAAATGAGGCTGTTTGAATGACCAATAGTAGTGTAGACAATGGTGTAGTGATATTACTAGGTAAAATGTTGTTTTCCCGTAATATTTTATATTGATATCTAGGGGAATTTTTTTTGTTTCTTAAATTTTTTCTTATATTTAAAAAAACATCTCAGAAATTACTTCTTCTATTTGAAAAAGTGCTTGAAAAATTCTAAAAGTTCGAATAAACAATACTGTATGTACAATTAATTTTTTAATCTAATTTTACATAAAAATAATTTGTTAATATTAAAAATTGAAAAACAGGACTCTTCCCAAAGGCCATATACTTTTTGGAAACGATATTTAACTTTTCTAATTTCCAAGTGTAAACTCACTTAATATTGGTACATTAATTTACTAAACCATCTCAAAATTAGCACTTGAGGATAAAAAATCATCTATTGTAATCGGTTTTAATTGCATCAATCCATATTATTATTATCGTATATATATCACATTTTCCAAAGATACCACAAATTATTTGACTGATTTTTATGCTCCATTATTTTAAAATGAAATAAAAGTGGGTTTTTTACTCCTAACCCGATTTAATTTTTTCATTATAATTGCTCTAGTACTTCTATATTCTCGTTCTATTTTAAACTTGATATCAATTTTAGAATGTTCCTATCTTGCGAATAACTTTTTTATTTATACTACTAAGCCGTATAAGAATTAAACTAAAATGTATACAAGTAAAACATTACATATTTTAGAATTAATATTTTTAAAAGTATGATTGGCAAATTTCATGCTTAGGACTGCATCTTAATATGGAACTCCGATTTATACAAAATTTTGAAAATAACATAATTCAAAAATAATAAGAATATTGTTTTACTTCTATATCTATTAAACAGAGACCTGCAAATATATTATTTGCACGGCCCGACCCGACCCGAATTTTTTTTAAAATATATTACATTTATTTTAATTTTTATAACTAAAAATGACGATTTAAAATAGTTGGTTTTAAAATATATGACCCGGCCCGTATTTTTTTGAAAATTTTTTTTAGGCCTGGCCTGGGTATATTTAAAAAAAATTAAAATACAGATCTCTGCTATTAAATAAACCCAAAAGGAAGTAATTGATGTTTGAATGGTAAATTGATGAATCAATAAGTATTAATCAAGCATGGGCTTCTATAATTTTTGTTCTGGCATAGCTAATCAAGATATTTTTTTTATTGTGCCAATAATGCTTTTTTTCTTTAAACTATCTATTAAACTGGTTGAAGCTCTAAAATCCATTAAATATTCACTAATTATTGATATAAGTCCACAGTTAATGTTTCCAAAAGTTTGTCTGACTTTATGCTTAAGTCGTGATATATTAATTTTGTTTAGCTTATAATTAGGTTACTTTTTTTATAGTTGGCGAAATTGTTTCAAGATTGAACTAAATATTTTTGATTTTTTTTTCCTCTTCTTTTCTTTATACTGTCTACCAAACAGCAAACGGATTTAAATAATTTACAATTAAGCACTGAAAATTAATTTCCGAATAAAGGCTTTGAGTTGCTTTTTAATTAGGTTTGCCAAAATTTTGTTGCTAAAATTTTTCCTATATACTAATTAGTTATAATTAGTGATACCAATTTTTCAGCATCGTTAAATCAGAATTTTTCGCTAGGCTGGACAAATGAAAATTTGGGGGCTAAGCCCTCCATAAAATATCATAACCCCCCTCCTGATAAATCTTGGCTATGCCACTAGATATTAGAGATAGACAAGGGGGCCTTTTATTAATGTGCATAAACAAACAACTGCTTAATGGTTAATAACGTTGTAAATTCCCTATATATGAACTTAACATAACATTTTACTATAAATTTAATGTCGTAACTAATATGAAGTAAATTATTTTCATACAAAGCGCAAAATTTATAACTATTGTGACTTTTATATCATCAATATGTTTTTATCTAAATCCTGAATTTATACAATTATAGTATACTTTTTCTTGTTTTTTGGCAGATAAATTAGTATAACCTCATCTTCTGAATCATTTATTTAGTCAGAGAAAAGATTAAAGATTCATTTTATATTTTATGAGTATAATCACGTTCACGTTAAGGCCCACTAGCTACGCTGTGGCCTCGTGAGCATTTTTTTCTAGCAGCCTTATTTTTATGATAAGTTTTACCCCCAAATTCCCTATTTTTCTGGCCTCCAGAACGCCCTTCAGCTGTGGTTTATTCGTAATATACATGGTTTTATTATTAGTCTATAATGATGGGTTAAACTTAAACACCATCGAAGCTATTACAATTTTAATCAGAAATATAATAATATATCATGATAATCACTTATATTATTGCATATTCAATATCATCCTCACAGCACATATAACAAAATGCATTCGCAATTTGGCATAATACAATATACCACATATAAAATCATGATTGTTCATATAATATAATATATATTCCAATAAAAATATTATATATTACACTATAAGATTGGAGTTCTAAATTACATCAGATTGAACCGCGAATAAGATTTGTACTTAGAAAATTAGGCGTATTGCAGATACGTTTTACAAATAGAATTTAAATAAATGAATTAAACGAATATTATATAATTTTTAGGCAGTTATCTAAGAAAGTAGAAAACGATATCACCAAATCTCAGAACAAAAATTTTTGAAAATGAAGAAATAATATTTCATCTTTTTATGAATTTTCTTGTTTTCCGTTAACCAATGCAATCAGGCATATCATTTTAATCCATTAATATATTTTTGTTTGAAAAATAGCAATTTCTATTTTTTAAAATCGTAAAAGGTTTTATAAGTAATGGAAAACAAACGTTAAGTTAAGTTCACAAATAAGTAAAATGTTATTTCGGCAGAGGAAGACGATGATAGATTGTGATAGAAAATGAACTCAATACTATATATTGTGAAAAACAGATTATTTAAAGTTTCGTTTATTTAAAAACAT